TGCTTGCCATCATTTTGATTGCTGCTTTTGTTCTCTGTCTAATTTTGTGTTTCCTACATTATACGTTTGTTTATTTCCTTTTGTTGCCCCTGGGGTCTAGTTGTTTCTCTGCTCTCTGTATTGCTTCAGATAGTCTTTGAAGGGCTGGTTTTGTGGACATGTATTCTTTCAGGTTATTCGTCTCATGGAAAATTTTTCTTTCCCCCTCAACATATAGATATTTTTGCTGGGTAAAGTATTCTGGGCTGTCATCTATTGTCATATAGAACTGGAAATACCCTAGTCCAGGCTCTTCTGGCTTTCATTGTTTGCATTGATAAGTCAGCTGTAATTCTGATGGGCTTTCTTTGTATGTGACTGGTTTTCTTTTGCTGCTTTCAGGATTCTCTTTGTTCTGTACATTTAGTGTTTTTACTATGATGTGTCTTGGGGAGTTTCTTTTCTGATCCGTCTATTTGGTGTTCTATGTGCTTCCTGTATTTGTATAGGGATGTCTTTCCCTAATTTCAGGGAATTCTCTTCTATAATCCTGTTTAAAATCTGGTCAATACCATTAACCTGAAATTCTTCTCCTTCCTCTATACCTATGATCCATAGATTTGGTCTTTTCATGTTGTCCCACATCTCTTGCATATTCCATTCCTGTATTTTTAAAAATTTTCCATACTCTTTTCTTGAGTGGTCCAATTCTTCAACTTTGTCCTCCAGTGTTGATATTATGTTTTCCATTTCATTCATTCTACAGGTGAGGCTTTCCCCTGTTGTTTCAAGTTGGCTTATTGAGTTTTGCACTTTCTTCAATGTTTTCTTCACTGCATTTCTGCCTGAGTTTTCTTCAGTGTTTCTCTTTGAATTCATTCAGATGTTTATCCCTTTGATTTGTTTGTTCGTGTGTTCTTTAAATTTGTTGAATTCCTTGATCATGTTTATGAATCTTCTTTCAAATTCAGTGTGCTGGGTTATGTCTAGGGGTTTCTCCTTGTAGAACTCTTCTAAAGGATTGGTGGAGTTTGGTTGGGACATTTGGCTTTCCATTTTATTCTTTCGTTGTGATTTTGGCATGTGAATTTCTTTTGTTTATGATTCTGATAGGAGAATTAAGTTGAAGTATTCTTCTGTTTGTATTATCTGGGTGCCTAGATCCTTTCTTTGTTGGTTATGTAAAGCTGGTTGGTACAGGGTTCAGGTTCTTTCAGGTTTAATTTGGAGGGAACTGATGGCTTCAGATCAGCTATTCAGGAGTACCCACAGAAGCCCAATTTAGGTTCCAGTCAGGTACACTCAGGCTTCCTTCACCATGTGGAGGCAGGTTCCAGGGGCTCTCAGGCAGTCCCCTGCATTCTCAGGCCTTCTGCCTGAGGGAGGCCAGAGGGAGACACTCTCTGGAGGTCTTCAGAGATCAGAGCCTCTACCTAGAAGCTCTTTAAACCAAGTTTAGGTCATTTGGGGGGGGGCATGTGTGCATGTGTGTGCATGCTGATATGGATATGGGTTGTTCCTGTGTCCCCGTGTGTCTGAGTGTCTGTGTCCGTGTCCGTGTCCGTGTCCGTGTCCGTGTGTGTGTGTGTGTGTGTGTGTAGGCCAGAGGACAACTTAATGGTGTGTTGTTCTTCAGGAGTTGTCTACCTTATTTTTTTGAGACAGGGTCTTATGTCACTGGAGCTTGCTGATTGGCTATGCTGGCTGGTGGTGAACTCCAAGACATGGCCTGCCTCCGCCTCTCCAGCACTAGGATTACAAGTTTATACCACTGCACCAGGCTGTTTTATGTGGGTTCTGGAGCTGGAACTCAGGTTCTTACGCTTGTACTGCAAGGACTGTCCCCACTGAGCTATCTTGAGCCCTAAGAATCATCCATGTATTTGTATCTGCTATTGTTTTTGCTGACTTGGATAGAATGACATTTAGAAGATATGTATTGATGTCATATTAAAACAAGTTATTCTCTATTGATATTTTTAGTGTATGAGTGTATTGCCTGCATGTGCATAAGTGTACCCGTGTCATGCAGTGCCCTCAGAGGTCAGAAGAAGATGTTGGATTTCCCTGGAACTGGAATTACGGACAGCTCTTTGCTGCCATGTGGGTGCTAGGAATTGAACCTGGGTCCTCTGTAATAGCAGCCAGTGCTAGTGCTCTTAACCACTGAGCCATCTCTTCAGCCTCACTTTGAAAATGCGTAGCATTTATTACAGAGTGGAGGATAGTGGAGGATAGCATACACTGAGGACTGAGTGTGGACACTAGCCAAAGGGACCATTGTGGAGCAGTGTACACTTTCAGGGAGTTAGAGGGGACAATGGGCAAAGAGACCATTGTGCTGACCTACATTTTCGGCAGGCTCTATTTTATATCTTAAGTTTCTAGAGCAGACAGCTGCCCTGAGGAGTATTCTCTCTCTCTCTCTCTCTCTCTCTCTCTCTCTCTCTCTCTCTAAGAGTTTGTCAATTTTATTAACCTTTCTGAAAAATCAGCTCTTCCTGGAACTTTTTATGTAGATCAGCCTTCCATCTCATAGAGATCCACCTGCCCCTGCCTCCTGAGTGTAGGGATTAAAAGACACTTTGCTTATGTATAGTTTTTGAGTTCTTGAAGGACATAATGGGGGCAGCATTAAGATAAAAAAAAATAGTAAGCCGGTCAGATGTCAAACATTTCTAAAAACATTTTCTTCAGCATCTGCTAATCACAAAGAAATATGAACTATGACTATACAGTTAAGAAATATAAAATATATTGGGGCTGGAGAGATGGCTCAGTTTTGAAGAATACTGGTTGTTCTTGCAGAAGACCTGGGTTTGAATCTCAGCACCCACATGGCAGCTAACAACTGTCCGTAACTCTAGTCCCAGGGGATCTGACAGTCTCTTCTGACCTCCGTGGGCACTGCACAACACGGGTGCACTTACCTACATGCAGGCAATACACACATATACATAAAATAAAAATAAATAAAATTAAAAAAAAAGATATATAAAGTATATTAACATAAAAGTATAGAAGTTAATGAGATTATCACTGAAGTGTTTGGTAAATAAGTGAAGCATGAGTTTGAGATTAAAAACCTTTTAAAATTGTTAAAAAATTTTTTATTTATTTTATGTGTATGCTTGTATTGTTTGCATGTAGGTAAGTGCACCCGTGCCATGCAATGTCCGTGGAGGTCAGAAGGGGCTGTCAGATCCCCTGGGACGAGTTACGGACAGTTGTTAGCTGCCATGTGGGTGCTGGGATTCGAACCCAGGTCTTCTGCAAGAACAACCAGTGTTCTTAACTACTGAGCTATCTCTCCACCCCGAGATTAAAAACCTTTTAAACAACCTTCCAAACTTTAAAAAATTTCTTCAAGTAGTTTATCTGTCCCAGTCTCATGGCAGCTATAGCCCGAGTTTCAGAGAAGGATGGAAGGGCCACACTCCTGTTAGTATTGTCACTAATGTTTGTGTCCTCTGCTGGACTTGATGCTGTTCGTACAGCTGTCATGGCTACTGCCTGCTCATTCATGAATCATTTCTTCTAGCTGGCTCTGGTGAGCTTTTGTTTCCATGTCATCCCTTTCTGGTGAACTTTGGTAATGAGTATTTTTTGGAGTTGTAGACATTCTGCTATTAAAACATAATTTATACACTATCCATATGAGCAGCAAATTTGTATTTCCTACCAAACTCTTGGGTCTCCTTATGAATTCCTTTGTTGTCTGGTCCTGTAATCTCCACATTGATGTTCAGAAAACTGTCCTCTGCTACCTCAAAGATGAGAATTGTCTTGGTGCCCAAGGTGACCACTGAAAGACACACTCCTCAGCATACTGATGGACTGGCCCAGGACTGTGGCCAGAAGAACAGCAACTGTTCTTCTAGCATGTGGTAGGGACACAGACTGTGGTGCAACTATGGCTGCCTCCATGGCTGCCTCTGAACATGGCATAGCTTTATTTTCGTTTGTGGTCTTTAGTATCTCTTAGTTGAATTCTATACCTTTTGTACAAGTATTTTGTTATACCTGTGCCTTAGAGCAGAGAGCCATTAAACTAAAACCTAAAGAATAGAATCATGCTGGGCCTAGTGGCGTATGCTTGTAGTTGTCCCCCTCCCCCCCAAAATAAAAATAAAAACAAGAAAAAATAAAAAAAATAATCTGCATGTCACTGGTTTTTGTAAGACCCATGTTGTAACATTTCTAGCTAAGACTTTTTAAAATGGTGCGGCAAAAAGTTGAGTATTATATGACACCTAAGAATTACATGAAAATTAAAGTTTAGTGTTCATAAAGACTTGTTGCTTTTGTAATAAGGTCCCATTGTAGCCAGGTTGCCTTTGAACTTGGGAGAGTCTCATGTAGTGGAAGACCATCTTAAACTCCTGATTTTCCTGTCTCTACCCCCCAAGAACCGAGGTTGCAGGTGTGCATCACCAGGCCCAGCTTAAAATTTTATTGGAACATGTCTTGTGATCAATTAAGTGTATTACTGCATTTGAGTAATATTACTGCATTTGAGTAACATGACAGAATTGATTATTGGAAAGATTGTATGACCCAGTAAGCATAGATATTTAGTATATAGTGCCTTGTCTTAAAATTAATTGTTTGGTTATGTGTGTATCTCAGGATTTCTTGTTACAGTGAGGGTGGGGCAGGGCTGCAGCTTTTTTTCTTCAGTTCCATTAAGACTTAAGTTTATACTGCATCATGGTTGGTAAATGATTTGTATTCTTCAGGTATATTTGAGCAGAACAGAAGCTTAAAAATGAGTGCTGTCATGATTTATATTGTGGACACTAGCTGTGTCTTGACATTTTACATTTGATAAGCCAAGAGTGGCTCACTCCTGTTATCTGCTACAGAGGAGGCTAAGGCAGGAGCTTTGCTGCAAGTTCTAGGCCAGCCTGGGCCTTAATAAATAATAAATCCCTGCCTCAGAAAAGATAAAACTATACAAAAATAAGAATATTACTTAATTAAGATAGAATTAATTTTTAACTGATTTTTTTTTTTTTTAGGAAATTAAGCGAGAGACAGAACCGAAGGATGACAATTTACCTATCAAACGGGAAAGGCATGGGAATGTAGCCAGCCTTGTACAGCGAATGAGCACTTATGGACTTCCAGCTGGAGGAATTCAGCCACACCCACAAACCAAAAATCTTAAGAAGAGTATGTAAATAATTCTTTTCCTGCCTAATTGTATCAAAATAGGGGGTTTTGTGGCTGCTCATAAAATCAGAAAAATCAGTTGTCTTCTGCAGCAGATTGTGGTAACCTCCAAGTTATTCTCATTACTGATCATTGGTACATACATGTAGTTGATTTTGATGTTTGGTTATATGGAGTTAGTAATGTCAGTAATCCAGCCCGAGTAGCTGACAGCAATCAATATACAGGAATTACAATATGGTTTATCTCTTACAGATTCTGATGAATGGCTAATACATTACTGTGTTTAATAGTACTTAATAGAATGTTGAAATGCCTGATACTTTCTTGTTTTCTTTTTCTTTTGAAATAAGGTCTTGCTAGGTAGCTCATGCTGGCCTCAGATTCCTGATCTTTCTGCCCTGGCAAGTTCATCGTCAACTTAAGGGAAAAAATTTGACAAGAGAGACTACCACATTTTATTTTTAAAGTTTTAAATTTATTATTTTTATTCTTGTATGTACCCAGGCATGATGTGTGTGTGTGTGTGTACTCATGTGGAGGTCAGTACAGCTTTGTGGAGTTGTTTCTCTCCCACCTTTACATGGATTCTAGAGATCGAATTCAGGTTGCCAGGCTTGTGCAGCAATAGCCTTTACCCACTGGGCCTGTCTCATGGGCCCAACTCATTTTAAATTATTTAAGTTTGAATTTGTTTTATGACCTTAGATCACTTAAATTCTTTTATTTAGCTACTTAGGAGAAAAGACAGAAAATATTGCCACTCTTAAAGACTATTTGTTCTAGTTTCTCTCTCCACTGCCATGACAAAACACTGACCAGTACCAACTTGAGGAGGAAAGGGTTTATTCATCTTACATCACCCAGATCACAGTTCATCAGGGAGCTTAATGTAGGAACTCAGGGCAGGAACCGGAGCACAGGCCATGGAGGAATACTGCTTACTGGCTTGTTCCCCTGGCCCATGCTCAACCTGCTTGCTTATATGACGTGGGTTTGCCTGCCCAGGGGTGGCACCACCCACAGTGGGCTGGGCCCTCCCACATCACTCAGTAATCAAGAAGATGCCCCACAGACATGGCCATAGGCCTGTCCAATGGAGGCAATTCCCCAATTGAGGCTCCTTCAACCCAGGTGTGTCAAGTTGACACTAAAGCTATCCAGCACACTATTATTTAAAAATACAAAATCATTAAGGGGACTGGAGAGATAGCTCAGCAGTTAAGAGCACTGACTGCTCTTCCAGAGGACCCAGGTTCGATTTCCAGCACCCACGTGATGGCTGGCAACCACCTGTAACTCCAGTTCCAGGGAATCTGATGCTTTTTTCTGACTTCCACTGGCATTGCACAACACAGGTATACTTATATTATGCAGGCAATATACTCATACACATAAAATAAAAATAAAATATTAAAAATAAAGCATTAAATATGTACAAAGAATTACATTGTTTATGGCAACAGATGGTAATGTTTTAATATAAAAATAGACATGTAAAGCGCTAAGAGTGATATTTCAGGTTATTGAGAGAAAAAATTGAATTTATTTATTCATTTATTTACTTATTTATTGTGTGTGTGTGCACGCTGTGGTGGGCATATGGAGCAAATTATGGGAGTTGATTTGTTCTTTCTACTCTATGGGTTCTGGGGATTGAACTCAAGTGTCAGACTTGGAGGCAAATGCCTTTACCTACTGAGCCATCTTGTTGGCCTTTAAATGAATATTTAAGCACACTTAGACTTTTAGTATCTTTGACATTGTGGTCTGTAAGTCCCTTGTAAGATGAAGTAATTGTCACTAAGGAAATTATTTTGGTATACATTTGCTGAATTGTAAATACAAGGCTATTAACCATTTGTATCAATGCCCTTGCTTATAAGTCTGGGGAAACCTGTTTTCTGAGTTATATCTCCTTTGGTTACTTTTCATAAAATAAAAGCGTTTTGTGAGAAATGACAATTTCTTGATACCAAGACTAAAGTTTTTTCTGTCATTTGTATCCTGGACAAATGTGGTATTCAAATAATATTTATGTACTGCCCTACTGCTTTCAACCTTACTGCTTGAAGATGGACACTTTCAGCATTTTAATGAACCTGGACTATAAAACTTCTTAGAGACTAGGGGAACAAATTACAGAGGTCTGTGTCCTATAGTTGTTCCTCTGTGGAATTCTTGTAGGCAGAATTTTTAGACCAATTGGAGAGTTACTAATAACCTGCTGCTATAAGCTCCATTTATAACTTTAATTCTATGAACTATAAAGGACAAACAAGACAAAGAGTTTGAGACAGGGTCTGGAGCTTGCTGTGTATACTAGGCTGGCCTTGATCTCACCAAGTTTTGTCTGCCTCTGCTTCCCTATGCTAGGATTAAAGGCATATACCACTGCGCCTGGCTGAGACAAAGAGTTTTACAAGGCTATGGGTTCTTTATTAATTTTATGTACTAAATAGAAATAAACACAGTAAATTTTACAGGAACCATTTTTGAAGAATGCACAAAACTGCTTGTTCTAGTTTGCCTTCAATTGTTGAGACAAAACACTGACCAGTACTAAATTGGGAAGGAAAGGGTTTATTTGGCTCACATCTCCTGGGTCACAGTTCATCACTGAGGGAGCCCAAGGTAGGAGCTTATGGCAGGAACTTGGAGGCAGGAGCTGAAGCACAGGCTTGCTCTCCTGGCCCATGTTTAGCCTGTTTCTTATATAATACAGGACCCCCTCCCCAGGGGTGGCACCACCCACAGTGGGCTGGGCCCTCCCACATCACTCTCAACAGTCAAGAAAATGCCTTACAGACATGGCCACGGGCCAGTCCAATGGAGACAGTTCCTGAATTGAGGCTCCCTTACCCAGGTGTGTAAAATTGACAACTAAAGCTATCTAGCACACTACTGTTCTTCAAATTTTTATGTAAAATTTTACCTTAAGATTCAGATGAAATGTGACCACAAAACTTTTCTATGAGTTCTGAGTTAGTCATGAAATTATGGTCTTAGTTTACTTTATTTGGTTTTATTTATTTGAAATACTAATTTACTACGTTTATTGTGTTTTGTGTTTCAGAGGCAATTTGCTTCTTCTATCATATGGCTCCTAGGGTTTGAACTCAGATTGTCAGGCTTGGCACATGTCTTTAGTCTCAGCACCCATGATACATAAGCAGGCCAATCTCTGTGAGTCTCAGGTCAGCCTAGCCCATATAGCAAGTTCCAGGCCAGCCAGGTGTGCATAGTGAAACCCTGTCTCAAAAAAAAAAAAAAACCCAAAAAACAAACCAAAAAAAACCTAGACTACAAAGGAGTTGATATTAGTGCTTTTGAAATGAATCATAGGTCATCAAATTTTGCTAATAATAATACAAAAAATATTACATGGGCATTATTAGCTGTTTGAGACAACCATAAGCTACCCTTCCTGTCTCTCCCTTTGGTTCAGGCTTGCCTGGAACTCACATTTTAGCCCAAGTGAGCCTCAAACTCACAATCATTTGGCTTCAGTGCAGGAGTAGGCCTTCTCTGGGTGTATGTACTTGGGGATGAGGTAGTACCTGCAGCTTTTCTTTTCCTGACTTTGTTCCATCTCACTAAGGATCTTACAGAGGAAGATCCCAACTGGAGCTGGGCCGAATTCCTCTGTTTAGTTGTAAGTAGTTTGAGGAAAATGAGTGTAACTCAAGAAACTGACTAAAATTTATATCCAGACAAATTTCTAGACATATTTGACTTATCAGAATTCAACAGGAAGATATAAAAATATCCAGATGGGCCTGGAGAGCTGACACAGTGGTTAAGAGCACTCACTGGCTGTTCTGCAGGGTTCAGTTCCCAGCACCTACATGGTGGGTCACAACTGTCCATAACTCCAGTTCAGGGGCTCCAACATCCTCTTCTGACTTCCATGGGTGTTGAATGACACAGGTACACTTAGATACTTGCAGGTAAAACACTTATACACATAAATAAAAATAAGAATGAAAAATTTAGAACAGACCAATAACGGGTAATGAGGTTAAATCAGTCATAAAATTACCAACAATCCAGACTCCAGGACCAGAGGAGACAGCATTGCTAAACCTTGCCGAACATTTAAAGAAGCATTAACCTAGTGGGCATGGTAACACACTCCAATAATCCCAGCACTCTGGAGGTAGGGGCAGGCCGATGGATTTCTGTGAGTTCAAGGACAGCTGGTGCTACAGGGAGACCCCGTCCCAAAAAGACGAAAGAAAATCTAACCAGTGCTCCTCAAGCAGTTTGATGTATTAGAAAGGGAGAGAACCCTTCTAAGTTCATTCTGTAAGGCCAGCATTATTCTAGTACCAATATCTGACAAAGATAAAGTAAAAAAGAAAACTTACCCCCAAAGTCACTGATAAATATAGATGCAATATAGATGCAAACATGTTGTACAAAATTCTAACATTTAATTTTTCAGGTATACCACAAAGATCATAAAGTGACAAGTTAGTTTCATTCCAGAGTTGTAAGGATGGCCCAACATGTGCAAATGAATAAACAGTGTATGTTATAAATTGAATGAAGGATAAAAATCATGTGATCCATCTAAACAGAGAAGAAATGTTTGATAAGACTCGATATCTCCATATGCTCCAAAGTTAGGTACAGAAGACTCATACCCCAGTATATGGAAGGCTGTGTACTACAGTCCACAGTCCCCATACTGAATGGTGGAAAACTGAAAGCATTTCTTCCAAGATTGGCAACAAGACAAAGGTGAAAAGACAATCATGGCTTTTAGTCAGTATAATGATAGAAATTCAGCCAGAGTGGTTAGGTTAGAAAGAGGAAATGACAAGGTATACAAACAGGAAAAGAAGTCAAGTTATCCCTGTTTTCAGATATATAGAAAAATCTCCATTTCACACCAAGTTCAGTAAAGTAACAGGGTGTAAAATCAACATACAAAATCAGTAACTTTTCTATACACCTATGTTGGCGATCCCTCCAACACCCTAGGAATACACTTC